TCATTCCCTAGACTATGATTTTATTTTGCACGATTTCACAATTCTCCAACCGTTTTACAGAAAGAAAAAATGACTCTATTTTGAGAACAAATGGAACCCTCGATCTACTTGAGGAATGTACAAGATTCGGAGGAATGATGGAACTAAAATGGTTGAATTATCTGTCCAAAGAAACTTGAGAAGCATAGCGAGAAAGATCGATCAATCAAAATATTATTCATGAACAATGAAAAAAGTTGAAACATACCCAATAAGAACACAATTATAAAACATATTTGGATTTTGAAACAAAAGTCTAGCTTCTCTTATTTCCACATTCGTAATCCATATTCTTAACTTTCTACCCGTGACATCCTTGTGTTTGAGAAGCTAAATATCATTGTAATAGGAAAAATAAAATTAATATCTCAAGAAACATGAAATCAAACTTGTTTAAGGCAGTGTAATTGCATTCAATTAAAATATCATGATGACAGTTAAGTGAAATTTAAGGTGTACCAAATAGGTATTACAAAGACAACCACCGAACAACAGAGAAATTTTTTTATAACTAAGTGCGACTTGCCTCATCGATTTGTACACTGAATCATATGTGCTGACTATCTTTTGAGATAATTAGAACAAAAAATAAAGTTATGAAAAACAATTCGCAGCTCAATAAATATTGAACGTATTTTCTGCAGCAAATTAAATATGAAAGGAAAATCTTTTGTTTGTAAAATCTATTTCACTTGATACAACATGGAAATAAAAAGTATGTTGAAGTAAATAGACGCTTCATAAAGGAAAAACTAGATATTAGTTTGATTTGTACACTTATATGTCTATTAACTCTCAACTTGTAGATGTACTTACTAAAGGACTAAGCAATCCAGTATTTCAAGCAATCGTTACCAAGCTGGGAATGGACATTGCCTATTCACCAGCTTGAGACAATTGTTGGAAAATAAGTTTGTTAGTGGTTAGATGTTTTAGGAAACTTTGAAGATTTATATTCCTAGAATTAGGAAATGTAGTTTCGAAAATCCCAGTTTTAAGGGATATGATATAGGCAAATTAGTTAGTTTCTATTTTTGCATTCTAGGGCATCTCATGTGTATATAGCAGACAAAATATTCTGCAACGTAAGCGAATATTCTATTAATTTCACGTCTTAATTATAACAAAATTTTCTGGAGTTTGATCCAATATATTTGCATCACAAGTGTCAACAAATGGTTAGTTTTAACAGAGTAAAAATTATTGTGCGTAGACCTTATGAAATAAGGATGCATAAAGATCACATAACTTAATTCTTACAACTTCACAAATCTAACTTTTGCACCATTTGGAAAATTGGTTACCACTAAAATACTTTTAATTGTTTCTATAAATATTTTAATCGCTATATTTGTATAATATGTCCTAAAAATAGAAACACACTGAAAAACATTGTTATCAAAGTCTCAATTTATTAAGAACACACTGAGTAAATTATTTTACTCACGTGTGAGATATCATATTACTGTCCCTATCAATTCGAAGCCTAGGTAACTTTTCTTGTGGCTTAAATAATTCGGACAAAGTAGTTCCTAGTTGTTTATGCATAGTTATTGCTTTATGTTCGCATGGAGAATGTAGTATAAATTGATTGAGCTGTTTGTGAAATATTTCCAGTAATTCCCTCGAAAGGAGGCAATATCTGTTACCCAAAGATGAATCTACAAGCACATAAAATAGAAAAAATCCTGATGAAACAAAAACCAACGACAATGTTCTTGAATCAATAATAATATAGAGAAGGTACTCTATATTTGATAAGAGCAGTTAAGTTTCACGATTAAAGAAACAAATGCTTGAGATATCTATGCAAAACTTGGAAGAATAGGCGATTGCTGATGTCCATGGTAATGTGTAAGTGCAATGTGGTCTATAAAAGATGTGTGAAAGCAAGAAGTAAACTTCAAATAATAAACATTTCCTAAAATCCAGAAAGATTACCATGTTTCCCAAAAACATAGAAACCAGTCACAGAAAATCCGAATACAGATTGTTGGTGGATACATTAGGTGCCGACCATCAAAAAACAAAGAATCATATCTCATGCAATTAATTGAGTTCATCCAGTCATGCGGGATGAAATGAACCTTTCATCGATCACATAGATGACAAGAAATAGTGTACTCTTAGTTGTACAGCAGGGGTGGAGCCAACACCTGACGAGCCGGAGCAGGCTCCACTGGAAAAAAAAGTAAAAAATCATTAATTAAGCTTTGATATTAAGCCCTGATTGAATGAAAATCATATTTTTGGTAAATTTTAATAGAATTTGGTGAAATGAGTGGTTCGAAAGTTGTGGATTTCATAAATGTCGCTAAAATTAATTGTTGACTTTGACTTGATTAAAATTTAGATTTTAATCAGAGTATCAAACACGGGCTGAATATATATAACTGTACAAATCTTCAACAAAAGTGGGTGTAGTTCATGTGGTAGAGGCTCTTTTTCATCGTGTGAGGCATGGAGTTTGAATCCTCTCCTCTCTACTCCATTTAAATTTTTTAACACAATAAATAATTACTAAACAATTCTATATTATTAATTTTCGCTTGCTTCAACAAAAACGGGTGTAGCTTATACGTTAAGAGTGTACATTACACGCGAGAGGT